ATATCCATTATTTTAAGTATCCGTATAATTTTCGAAATGCATATATGGTATTTAAAATATCGATTTGAAAATCTATAAATATGTTTGGTTTTCAAAAAAAAAAATTTGAGACCTTAGGGAATTTAATTACTTGGGGATAGTTTTTAAGCTTAATGATACGAGGCTCCATCCGATAAGGGAGGAGTAGTGCTAGACCGTAAGTCGGCCAACATGCGAAACCTAGTCACGGGAGGCATGACCTTTGGGTGTTCACACCTAATAAATATGTTATTACTCCATGGGTGTATAAAACTTGTGTGTGTGTGTGTGTGTGTGTGTGTGTGTGTGTCCGTGTCCGTGTTTCGATGAAATATGTTTTCGATGTGCATGTCTTTTAGGAAATAAGCATTGCATTTTGACATTGATTAGTCTCGTTTCTTTTCTTTAGTACATTATATAATGTCTACCGATTAAGTTGTGGTTTATTTATCCCTTATTATTTCAGTTTTGGACGATATTGAGGGATTTGCCATTACCCAAAATCTTTCATGAAGTCAGCACTTTGACCATGTAGCTTATTTCATTGTAAATCTTTCGGAACCTATGTTTATCGTAAATTATAATCTTAAATGCTCGTAATTATAGTTATGGGTAAAGTATTAGAATGTGATTAAGAATGTTCATCTTGGATGTTGAAATGAGAATATTATGAAATCTATAAGATGTATTAATGTTGAAGAAATGCTTATTAAGTTATAATTATGTTGATATTTAATGATAATTTGAGTGATATAGAATTAAGGACTATAGTACAAGTGTAACCCCCGTAAAAACCCTTATCCGTAACGCGACGTGTATTAGAATAATTCTATATATATGTATATTAAGAGTAAGTGTAATTATCATTTCATAATGAGAAATTACTGCTTGAAATATGTGATTTATGTTAAATTAAAGTTATTGTGCTTAAGATTAATGGTTTAATTATTAAAGAAATTAAATATGCAAAATCGGTGTTTTAAGGACTATATTCTTCCCGAGTTTTATGTGAATTATTTGAGGCCTTTAGAGTAATTTTTGGGTCAACCTTAAAGAATGAAAGTTGTTCCTCTATGTGTTTAATAGGTCTGTATAAAATTTTATAATATTTGGAACTATACATTAAGAGTTATACCAATTATAGTGAGGGTTGTTTCGAAATGCATTCTGCTGGAATTTTGGGAGAAGAATTTGCCCGAATCTTGTGAGATTTATTTGATGCTCGTTAGATTGATTTTTGAGAAAAACGTAAAGAATAAAAGTTGTTTTTCTATGTGTGTACTAGATCTCTATAAAATTTCATAAATTTTGGATACATATAGAAAGAGTTATGCACATTTTAGTATAGATGGGTTAGGAGGAAACACTGCTGGAATTTTGAGAGGAAAAGAAATTCCGAATTTTTAAAAATGGAAATTTCTGAATTTTTATGAAAAAAGTAGTTTTAGTTACTTGAATTAAGTTAATTAATGATTTTAATTAGCATAAATTTTATATAGACACCTAAACAAATGCAATAAATGAATTTAATGTCAACTCACCCATTATGGATTCCAAAGCGACCAGACTTTCCTCATGACTCACCCATAACCTTTACACCTTATCCCATTAATTTCTAACACTTGTAGCTGAATGAAAGTAAGTGTATATATATATATATATAGCAAGTGTTAAAATAGGAGAAAAACTTTAGTAAACCGTAGGTACCGGAAATTGAGAGAGAAAAGGCAAGAAAGAAAAGAGAGGAAGAAAAACGTGAGGAGAGAAAGGAAAGGAAAGAAAAAGAGGAAGGGAAAAAGAAAAGAAAAAGAGCTAAGAAAACTATAATCAAACCTAAAAGAGGTAAGTAGGTTTCATTTTTTTGGCTGATTAATGTCTTAAATTATTTTTTAAAAGTTATTTTGTTAGTGTTTATTTCATGGGTTGTAATAATTTTCAATGGTTATATGCTTGATGCTTGGAATAAATCTATGTATGGATGCCTTGTTGTGATGATTTATGATGTTATGATTTTTTGAAAAATGTCCAAGTATGTGGTGATGGGTTGGATTGAACTTGGACTAAATTTAAGTGAACTAAAACATGTTTAAAATTGGCTTGGAATGAACTAATAAATTAGTGTTAATAAGGAGTAAATTCTGTCCGAATTTTGGGGTGTCTATTCAAGGATTTTAGATCGATTTCTAGGTAAAACTTAAAGCATAAAAGTTGTTCATCTATGTTTCAAATAACTTCTTTTAAAATTTCTTGATCATTCGATTAGTGTACAAAGAGTTACACCCGATTTAGTATGGATAGCTCTAGATAAACTACTATTAGGCAGATTGCTCCCTAAGTTTTAAAAATTTATAATTAATTATGTACTTGGTATTTAGACCTACTTTTTGGATATGTTATAAATAAATATGTCTAGTATCTAAAATAAAATGAGTAAGATTTAATTATGTTCTGAAATTAGAAAATTATTTACTCGATTAGGAGTTGCCCGGTAATAAATCCTAAAACCAAAAAAAATTAGACTTTGACAAAATTAATAGGTTTGGAATAAACTAAATGAGCTTGGACTAAATAAAATGGAATTAAATAGAGTCAATAGACCTAGGATAAAGTTAATAACTTGGATTAAATTAAATGGACTTGGACCTTCTTTTAAATATTAATGAACCTAATGAACAATATTAATGAGCGGAGATTGTGTTCCCGCTGTGGGTATCATGATTGGTATGTGAGCAATGGATAAATTCCGAGTATGGGTTGGACCATGAGCATAGCATGAGAATGAAGGGTTGGTACCCGAAATTGGTTGAATGTGATTAAATATGTCATCACGTGCATCATGTGCATAGTGGGTAGTTTAAGACAAGTCAACCGATTGAGAAATGGTTTATACATCTAGGTTTGATAACCTAATTGGAATAAATGGGTATTAGTAGTCCAAGTACTCTAGGTCGTGTGCTCGCACTATTAGACGATGGATTTCAGCTAATAGTAGTTACAACGAGGGATAATTCCGTTGTAGCGAGAAGATGATCCGAGGATCATCCGGATGAAATCAAGTTGTGTGCTTGCACTCGTTAGACAATGGATTCCCGCTAACGTAGTTACAACGAGGGATAATTCCGTTGTAGCATAAGGTGATCCGTGGACCACCCGGATGATAAATAGAGTAGATCGACTAATACCCGTGGTACCCGAATTAAAATTTATGAGTATGGTGGGAAGTCAAAACAACATTGCATATCATGTGCATCACCTCGCTTACCGAGCTTCGGCTCACCATGTTGTTATTTTTTTTATGTCTTGACGGAAAAAGGACAAGTTGGTACGAATGCGGCTGGCTCCTCCTAACCGGCTCATGTGAGGCACCATATATTAGTTTTTATTTTGTCCGTAAATTTGAGGTATGGAGTTCGTGAGAAATTGAATATTGCTCGTAATGTTTTATTAATGTATTTAATTATGTTATGTAAATTTTATCTTAAGGAGTTATATATGTAATGTACTCGTTAAAGTCCTAAGAATATCATAAGAAAACTACTTAGAGTTTAGGGTATGTCGTTGTAACGCGCTTCGTCCAAGTACTCTACTTGGGTAGTAGAAATACAATCAGGGCGGGGCGTTACAACAAGTCTAATTATGATTTGAAAATTTTAGATTAGTATCCGAAACTTGCTTGGGTCGAAGTAGGCCTCACGATCCCTTTGGTCCTCGCATCAATAATGGCCTACTCCCAAGGTCGTGACATTTTTACCCATGATAAATAATTATAAATACATTAATTTTTAACTTTTCTCAATAAAATACACATATTTCAATTTTTTTTATTTTTAGCATATTGATTTTTTCAAAACTATTAATCAAATGCTTATGATAATTTTTTTGTTAAATGATGATGTGTCCGTTACTCTTAGAATATTAAATTATAATTTTACTTTTTTTCAATCAAGCACATAATTTTAATTTTTTTTGTTTGACTACATCGACTTTTTCAAAACTATTTATCAAATACTTTTATCAATTTTTTCATTAATTGATGAAGTATTCGCTACCTTCAGAATATCACATTATAACTTTTTAAAAAAAGAAACTTTCTCTTCGAATTATTCTATCATTTTAAAATTTGACAAAAAAAATTAAAAATATATTATTTTTTAGCTATAAAACTCTAAATTAAACTCAGTTAAGTTTAGGTACAAAAATTACAAAAAAAAAAAACACAAACATAAATTTTTTTATCAACAAGATTCATTGTTTGTGGGTATTTAGAAAGAAATTAAAAAAAAACGACAAGACTATAATTTGGTATTCTAGAGGTAACTAACATGTCAACGACTAATGAAAAAATTAACGAAAGTATTTTATTGATATTGTTTTTTTTAAAAAAAGGTTAGTATACTCAAACATAAAAATTAAAATCTTTGTATTGGATTGAGAAAAAAAGAAAAAAAAAACAAAGGCAAACTAGTAATTTAGTATTTTGAGAATAACGAATACTTCATCACTTAATGGAGAAATGAAAGAACATACTTAATTGATAGTTTTAAAAAAAATTAACATACTCAAAAAACAAAATTATATATTTAATTAAAAAATATAAAAGTTGGTGTAATTATATTGTAATTATTATCTCTTTCCATTCCAAATAGCGTAAGCCCCTTTCCTTCATGTTTGTTTCCCCTCCTTGTCTATGCAGTCAAATATGGAAATGGCCCAGATTATATGAGCCCAATAAAGGCCCAGAAGTTGATGTATTCAGTTCTAAACATGTGAACAAGAACATTTGCTAGACGGACGATCTAGTTACTGGAATGCTCCCCACTTTCCGGTCTACGACCTTAATTGCTGCAGCTACTGGCCACCGCCTCCTAACTGTACGATAAAGTTCCTCAAAGAGCCAGAGAAACCAAAACCAAAATTTCTTCATCAAATAATTTTCCTCAGCAATTCCCGAGAGCTCGATCGCGAAGCTTAAAATTTAAACTATGCAGCGCATATCATCAAGACTTACAAGAACATCTTCATTGTCAACACTATTCACCAAAACAATAAAACGCAGTTTCAATGCCCATTCCTTAAAGAACCCAAATCTCCAAAAACAGCAAGAACCCACGATCCCAGGTCATTTTCTCAAATGGGGTTCGCTTGGTTTTGTTAGAACATCAAGGTTTGCGACTGGGTTCACTCCATTGGAGCCAAAGCCGTTGGATTCAATCATGGATATTGAACGGACCAAGACCAAATCTCCTGAGGATCTCTCCTCCATTTGGGACGATGTAATGTGCCATAATTCCTCATTTTCATTCATTTGTTTGTGATTGGTGCTATGGATTAGCTTACTTGATAGGAAACTGTCTAATTCAAGATTAGACAGATATAAACCTAGCTCAACCTGAGTTTTTTGTAGTTGGTTTTGTTTAGTTTCATATTTAATGAAAGTGTAAAGTTTGAGTTTGCTGTTGAATTATTAATTGAGCAAAAAAGTATAGAAAAATTTGAAGTATGGAGTTTAAAATCACATAGATGACTATGCAGTACATACCATTACCTGGTTTGAGTACTAGAAAGCTCTTGGAAAAGTAAAGAAAGCAAGCCTCTTCTTCCACGGACAGATGTGCTGGAATATGATAATCATTTATTATGATTTTGATCATGAAACACATTAATGTACTACTTAAAGAACTAAGGAAGTATCTTATGAGATTAGTTTATTTACAAGCCATTTATGATCTTTTTTTGTAAGTTTGAACACTATAATACAAGGATATTAGAATTATTCTAATCGCAGTATTAGCTATATGTCTAAATGTGCAGTCCTGCATCTTCAACTAATTGGATTGGTTAATATATTTAATATGCCTTCATTTGGGATGATTGTTCTTAACCGTCATGTTTGCATATTCAAGAAGGATCTCGATTAGTGATAGTGTATTATTAATGGGTAGAGTTTCTGGGTGATATTTATTGTGTATATAACTTATGGCGGAGTTTATCTTTGTCAGTATCATTTGGGAAGAGGACATATCGGTGCATCCATGAAAGCCAAGCTTTATCATTTGTTGGTGCAAAGAGCTGCAGATTGGTAATTCAATATTATGATGTTTTGTGTTAGACATATATGTTTTCCTTCCTTATTTTTACTGGTCTTTCGTCTTTTTTCTTTCAGCAAATATTTCGTCATTCCTTTGTGGAGAGGAAGTGGTTATACAACAATGTTTGCTCAAGGTTAGGTTTCTGAATTTTGATCACTAGCTTTGACCGACATCCTATACTAATTAATTCTTAGGGCTTGCCTTTTCTAAAATTTATTTTTCCACAGTAAGCAAATTCCATAATTTTGTTAACCCTATTGGAGTAGGAAATTATATATATATATATATATATATATAATTTCTTTTTATGAGTAGGACATCTTAGATATCTTATGCTATACACTAAGTTCTTTTAGGAATTAGATTGGTATGTAACAAACATGTGTTATCTCTTCAAGTTCGTATTAAGAATGACTGTGGCGTTGCTGAATGGATAACAATGCTGATTGAGCCTTTTGGTTATCAATTTTTTTTCATCATATGGAATGGTGACATTGGAAGAGAATGTTGTTTATGGTAATTTATTGAGTTAGATCTTAGTGATTATCTGTTCATTGCACTGAGCAACCACCCATTTTATAATAATGTTTTTTAGCATTAATAAGTTACATTGAGGGCTGGCAGTTCTATTTTGCTCAATATTGCAGTCTCAAATCCTCTTTTTTCACTAGACCTTGTTGTCAAAAAGGTAGATGGAAAACTTGATCTGGACCTCGTTATGCTTATTCATCTGCTCACGTGTCCATCCACATCTTTTTTCTCAGTGCAGATGCCACATATGATTTTCACTGGTCTTGAGGACTACAAATCAAGAGGAACTCAGGCATCTCCATACTTCACTGTCAAATTCTACACTGAATTTGCAGAAAGCAAAGATTTGGTGCTTATCCGAGGAGATATTGTTTTCACCAGCAAGCTTACTGACAAAGAGGCAGAATGGCTCTTAGAGACAGCTCAATCATTTTACTTAAACGATGCGAGGTACAAGCTGGTTGAACAGTTCAACAAGCAAACACATAATTTTGAGTTCAAGGATGTCCTGCGTGCTCTGAACATGCCCATTCTGTGATTTTGTGAAAGAAAATTGGCCAAGTAGAAGCAAAACTGTCACAGACTAAGACTTGATGAATTGAGGTGGTCGAGTTTCGACTCATGCAAGACCTAAAACTGATGCACAAGGCCTATGGCACCAAGCAAATGAAGGAAGACCTTGTGTGTATCATTTTCTGCTGGGATAAACAGCTCCAGTTAATCGATTTTCCTGTTTGAAGAATATCTTCTTGCACACATCTAATAATTGTAACCACAACAAGGTTTTTGTGATTGTCCCGGAAAAGAAATGGTTTTTGGATGTTCAAATTTTTTTATCAAACAAGGTGTGCAGCAATAAATTTTGTGTATGCATTGTTAATCGGTTTGTGCGCAGGGTGATTCTCTCCCCTGTTTTGTGCTGTCCTTTCTCTCTTCTTTTAACCTATAAAGAATAAGAAGCTGATAGAAACAGAGAAAAAGCATGGCATCAACCATTGGTGAAACGTGGAAAGACAGAAGGATTGAGTGGTATGGAAATCTACACGGTTCAAGTATTGCTATGCTGCGAGATGTGATGTTGGAACCAAAAGATGGAATGCAATTTCGCGCTGCGGACAAATATCAATAACCAAAATTTCTTCAACATGTAGCTACAGGAAGGAACAGTTTGAGCTTTGAATCTCAGTTTATCCAGCTTTTGCAATTCCCAAGTACATGTGCATCTTTGAGTGGCATCTGTAACCATATCAACTTGTCGCAGTTTCTTTTCTAGCTACGGTCCTACGGAACGACAAAATCCTGTGAATTTAGCTCAAGAAAAAGAATATTAGAAAAGGAGAGAGAAACTCCAAAAGATACCAAAAAATTGAAAATTTTCATTTCTGCATGCTGGAGTGGAGAGGTTCAAACAAGCCAGGAGCTTAAACCCGGCTCGGTTCATTACGAACCTAATATATGAAGCTTAAATTCCTCTTCCACTTGGTTAAATTGAGTTTATATAAAAAGGTTAAAATAGGTTAATTTGTTTTTATACAATAGTACTAATTTCTAATTTATTTTTGTTATTTTTATTGCATTTATTATGTCTCTAAATAATTAATAGGATATTCGAAAGAAGTCAATTATCAAGCCGGACAGATCTGTACGTGATATGCATTGGAGGACTGAACGTGATATGCATGGAATTAACTATAGATTGTGTTTGAGATCTTTAGGAGTTCTTGTTTGTAAAATAGGAGTCCTTTGTGTATAGGAGTCCCTCGCTGGTATAGGAGTCTCTGCTATATATATGTATATACTTGGCGTTTATCGGGCGGCGCGGAACGGGGGAGAACGGAGTATTGTTGTGCAAACCTTGTTCTTTCAATAATATTTAACCCGATAATTTGTCTTTTTAATCTTTTTTTTTTTTTTGTATTATAACAATTTTTTTTTATATACTAAAATGACACCGATCGAAACACAAAATTTTTTTTTTAATTTTTTTTTAAGAGACAATCTTATTGTAAAAACTAATGGGAGTGGTAGATTGAAAACTTAAATAATATTTAAAAATATTATAAATGCAATTAAAAACATAAAAAATAGATCAAAAACTGAAGCTATTATATAAGAATAGATTAACTTATTTATCTTATATATAAATAAGCTAAGTTTAAACCTTCACTATTTTTTTAAATTATTATATAATAATTTTTGGAAACAAAAAGTAATATAATAAATATAAAATATTAATATAAAACTTGTTCATTTTGATCGTTATAAATATTCATGACTTACTAATATAGTACTATAACCAAGTTAAAACCAAAGAAATCAAATACATAATTGGAGTAAATTATAAAGCAGTCCCTCCATTTAAAAAAAAAAAAAAAGAATTAATTAGTAAACTTTGTTTTAAAAATTAATTATTTAGTCTCTTAACCAATATTGATAATACTTAATTTAATATTATTTTATTTAAAAAATAATTTTTTTCTCATTATATTTTTTACTTATTTTTTTCTCTTTTTTTATTTTTTAAAACAAAAAATAAATTAAATTAAAAAGGAAAAAATGATTAAGTTATAAGAAATTTAACAATTTAAAGATTAAATAATTAATTTTTAAAAGACAAGAACTAATTAATTTATTTCTTAAGATTAGAAAAAAAATATTTTATAATTTATTTTGTATAACTTCAATGGCTGAATCCTGTAGTTTGTCCATGTGTTTGTTCCCAACAGTCAATTTTGCCCATGTTATCTAATTTGAGCCAATTAATAAAATCTGTGACATTATTTTGGAGTGACAAGACAATAAGTAGGTCAAGTCAGAAGAGGGATAAATTATACTTTAAGTCTCTAAGAAAGAAAATAAAAATAAAAACGATGGAAAAGAATTACATAACCTTGAATCCCTTACAAAAGCAATGCCCCAATTTACATTTTCCCATCTCTCTCTCTCACTCGTTAACTCTATAAAATTCAAATTAATGAAAGCTTAATAAAACCCTAAAATCCCAAATAAAATGTGAACGAATATAAAATCTAGTTATCGAAAGCTTAATCTTGGTATCTTCTCCGTAATCTTGTTCTCTCTCAATGAAAAACGAAAACAAGGCAAAAAAGACAAGGAATGAATTCAATGTGGGCTCAGAAGGAATCGCAGAGAAGGTATGCTTTCTTTTAACTTTTCAAAGGTTTTGGGTTTATAAGATTTTGTGTTTTTGGGTAAGCAACTGGTCCCATATGGTTTAAAGCGTATGGTATTAAAAGCATTTAGTGTTTGAAGCATATGATTTTTGTTTTGAGTTTTTGCAATGTGGAGTCATGTCATGTGGTGCCAAAGTGTCTTTTATGTCGTTTTTATGTATTTAAAATATATAGTTTATTTTTAAAATTCGCTGTATTTATTTTTTGTCAGGATGACGTATGTAATTAGATTTCATCAAGCGGGACAATTTAAAAGGGATGGGATTAACGTCTAGTATTTTTATAGAAGAACGTATGAATTCGAGTACATTCACGTAAATGAATTGGGTTTATTTTCTAAATTTAAGGCTGAGTCAGAGGATTTGGGACCTAAAAATGTGCTTCGTATGCATTTTTGCATACCTGGAAAGCCACTTGCTAAAGGTATAATATTATTGTGGGATAATGGAAGTTTTTTTTAAAATTTATTGTGAATCTTAAAAGTCATGGTTGTGCTAATGCGTACATAAAATCTCATGGTAATTATCATAATCTAATTTTAGACCTACCATATCTATTTTAAAAATTTCTTGAAAATTCCTTTTATTTCTATTTTTAATTATATAATGCATGTGTTCATAAATTATTATTAATTTTGTTTTATCATTAGCTTTTAATTATATTTATCATTCTGTCACGAAAAATTAAAAATGAAACAAAAAATACAAAAAAAATTGGATTAATTTTTCTTTTGTTTTATTATCTTAACATAACTATGAATTACAAAAAAAAAAAAAAAAAAAAAAAGAGAGAGAGAGAAAAAAAATGCAAAAAAAAAAAAAAAAAATTGAATTAATTATTAAGGATCTTAAATGTAATTGGTTTAAAAGCTTGGAAATATCAAAAGTACAAGGAAACAATTAGGCACAATGGAGAGTACACATTGAACAAAATATATATATATATAAAAGAGCATAAATCGAAAGCAAGGAGCTCGGGGGTTTAATTGCAAAAAGTTTAGAAGAATGGGGACCAACATAAACATTTTGGATGCAAAAATAGAGTCGTTTTGAAGACAATGAAACCATTGACCACTGTTCACTATCTTCTTCACAACTTCGTGCTAGTATGTTTTCTTCTTTTTGTTTTATCTAGCTTAGCCTTATCCTTTATTTTTGTCTTCACATGCAACTGGCTCTGTACTTGCTACACATTTTAAATACCCAAACAAAGCTAAATGCCACCTATTGTCCTTCCTTTCCCCAATCCGTGCCCTTCTTTATGTAGCACAAAACAATAATAGGACATTTAGCAGAGGAGAAGAAGACAAGAACGAAGTGTCTGTTGTGCTTACAAGAAGAAAGGGTTAGGATGTGATGACGAAGATCAGAAGGTGGAAAATGATTAGAGATCAAAATAAAAACAGAAAGAAAAGGATTTCTTAGGGAGGGTGGAGCTTTGAAAAATAAAATTGCAATAGCTTTTCTTTAAAGTATGGTTGATTTTTAAGAGAGGGAGAGGAGAGCAAGAATAGATAGAGAAGAGAATAAAGAAAAAAAAAGAAAAAGGAAGGGAGTGGTCTAGGGCTCTCTAGTTTTTGTGAGAAAAAGACCAAAACATTAAGGAGAAGCCTTAACTAAAAAAAAAGAAAAAAAAAAAAGAAAACTAATCTTAGAAGTGAGGAATAGTTATGATCCGAGTTAATATCTAGTGGAGGATCTCATTTGATTCGTGTCATTATACCCATTCTTTTACCGGGTAAAATCATACCTCTTTCCTATCTTCTTATTTTGTTGTTTCATTTTTCATAATGCGAGAGAACATTAAAGTTCATTTTTATGAATCCTATCCATGATTTTTTTTATATACTTGTTGGTACATTGAAAATGAGATCCTTGTGGGAAAAATTTACGAAATTGAATAAATCTTTATATATTTTGACAAAACATAGGTACAAAGATTAAATAGATTACAAAAGAGGATAAAATATCATCGATGATGGTAGATAAAGTTTAGGGTTGGCAATCCTTTATAATTAGCTAATTTTTATATTTACATATATTCTAATTAATGAAAATATATGATAATAAATGCAAAAGATCCGTTTTACTCTTTCTCAAGTTGAAGCATGAAGATCGAAAATGCCTAATTTGCCTAACGAAAAGCTGAAACGAACCATTTCGAGTGCTTTAGTAAAGATGTTAGTCGATTGAGGCCGAGATGATATAGGTCGAGGTAAGAGAAGTTTGGATTGAAGGAATTTAGTCACATATGCTAGTCGAGCATTAAAAACAAAATAATAGAATAGTGTGTTCTCTCTAAAAAATACCTCTCCTATCGAAATGAAACCTATATATACATAACG